TGAAAGAGCCCGCCGCACGGGAACAGGAGACCGGATCCACACGCGATGACCTATAACCGCACATCTGAGGGAATTTGTATGGCAACAGACGGTTTTTGGGGCTGGATGTGAGCGATTTGCATGCATAAGCAAATGAATCTTTGAAACTACATGCCGTACAATGAGAGAGACCGAGCAGGAATTCGGTCACCCTAATCAGAGTATAAAGACTGTCTCTCGAAGAAGTTTTGTGTCAGGGAAAAGTTTCCCTCTACATGTTTTAATAAAAAGGTTTTTGTCTTTCATCATGTTTAAACAAGGGAGCGCGAAGCCTTTTATTTTTCTGCCCTTCAGCCAAGAAACTGCTTTGCCCCAGTTATCAGCTGTTCGTTTGGAGTGTCTTTCATAAGACCTGTGTGCACTTTATTCAGTGGGAATGTATGTTGTGTCCTGTGTCCTTCAATCTTGAATTTACATCTACAACAAAACACTATCAAAAATCAGCTTTTACTTGATAAAACAACTCATTTATTAGCTTGACCTTCGATGGTAGGTTATTAAGCATGGATGAAAAAGCATTGTCATCAGTGAAAAACATCAGTCTTGTGCTATAGGGAGTTCTGGGGGGTTTCCAGGGGGTTCTAAAGGGTGTTCCGGGTCATCACTATGGTGATGCTAGGATGTTATAGGGGGATTCTAGTGTTCTGTGTGTTTGCTAGGGTGTTCTCTGGGATTTCTATGGTGTTCTATGTAGTGTATATGATTGCTAGGTGTTTTAGGTCATCACTAGGGTGTTGCTAGGATGTTATAGGGGGGTTCTATGGTGTTCTCTGGGATTTATATGGTGTTCTATGTGGTGTTTATGATTGGTAGGTGTTCCGGGTGACACTAGGGTGTTGCTAGGATGTTATAGGGGGGTTATATGGTGTTCTGAGTGGTGGCTAGGGTGTTCTCTGGGATTTCTATGGTGTTCTATGTGGTGTTTATGATTGCTAGGTGTTCCGAGTCATCACTAGGGTGTTGCTAGGATGTTATATGGGGATTCAATGGTGTTCTGACTGAGTGGTTGCTAGGGTGTTCTCTGGGATTTATATGGTGTTCTATGTGGTGTCTATGATTGCTAGGTGTTTTAGGTCATCACTAGGGTGTTGCTAGGATGTTATAGGATGGTTATATGGTGTTCTGTGTGGTTGCTAGGGTGTTCTCTGAGATTTATATGGTGTTCTATGTGGTGTCTATGATTGCTAGGTGTTCTATGTCATCACTAGGGTGTTGGTAGGATATTCTGTGGGTTTCTAAGGAGTTCTGTGGTTTCTATGGTGTTCTGTGAGGTTGCCAGTGTGTATTATCGGGTTTCCAGGGTTTTTTATGTGGTTCACACCATGTTATAAGGGGTTTCTAAGCATGGATGAAATAAGCATTGTCATCAGTGAAAAACATCAGTCTTGTATCTTGTATTAGTCTAGGGAGTTCTGGTTGGTTGTTAGGGTGCTCTATGGTGCTCTAGGGGGTTTCCAATGTGTTCTAGATGATTGCTAGGGTGTTTTGAGTCATCACTAGATTGTTGGTAGGATGTTATATGGGGGATTCTATGGCGTTCTATGTGGTGTCTTTTATTGTTAGGTTTTCCGTGTTGTCACTAGAGTGTTGGTAGGATGTTCTGTGGGTTTTTTTAGGGTGTTCTGAATGGTTGCTTGCTACTGTTCTATGGAGTTAATATAGTGTTTTGAATGATTGAAATTGTGTTTTAGGGGGGTTTCTAGGGTGTTCTATGTGGGTGCTAGGGTGTTCAAATGAGTTTCTAACAATGTTTTGGTTTGTAGTGTGTTCTGTGTGGTTGCTAATGTTTTCTAGGGGGCTACTAGGGTGCTCTGCGTGGTTTATATGGTGTTCTAAGGGGTGTTCATTTGGGGGTTTTTAGTGTGTTCTGTGTGGTTGCTAATGTGTTCTGGGGGGTTCTAGTTTTTTTTATGTGGTTTCTATAGTGTTCTTTGAGGTTTCTAGGGCTTTCTGTGGTTTCTAAGGTGTTCTATGTGGTTTATATGTTATTTTTCTATGGGGTTTCTAGTGTGTGCTGTGTTTGTTAAGGTGTTCTAGGCTAGGGGGTCTCTGGTTTGGGACAAAACTCTGGTAACATGAAAGATTGCGTCGTCGCATTAAGTCTGGTTAGGACATTGTACGAGATTTTTTTTTTTTTTTTTTTACATGTTTTATTGTCCAACAAGTGGAAATTGGAAGTCTGATTGCTTGTAAAAAAATAACCTCTCCTAAACAAACCGCATGGCTTGAGCTATTATTCATGTTCATAGAGCACACCTTAAGTATGGGCAATACAATAGTAGTAAAAGTGTTTGCCCTAGCAAGCGCTACTAATTGACCTCTACTAATTGACCTCTACTTGCTTAACCATGAAATTCAACACCCCAACAAATAGGATCTGAATTCTGCGTTTTGTCATTTGTGTTAATCGAGACAGACGGCTAAGTTTTCTCCAAGGCTACTCTCCGCACTAACGGCCATAACAGAATTAATGGACGCAGGCCGGTGTGTCTTGACCTTCTGTCCTGCATTACGAACACACATGTCAGGGTAATTGGATCCCTGAAGATATATGTGTGATTCTTAAGCGAAGTCTCTGTCGCTGATCTATACGTCCACGTCCCATTTCCTTTGTGTCCATGAGCTCAGTATTGAGTTAGAGCTGCTGAAATGTCCTTTCAGGTCTAGCGCTGTCAGTAAATGCTGTCATTTGTCTTCTTAGATTAGAGGTTAAATATTATATGATTCCTTTCAAGCACCTGCAGGCAGATGCATTGAGATGGTCTTTGCTCCTATAGTGCTCCTAAACCCAATCCCATAGTAAATCTCTGAGCAAAAATTTGATTGCTCATAGATTGCTCTTTCACAGCTCAGCAAAGTTGGAGTTCTAATTTCAAGATCAACTTTATTTAGATGTTTCTCCTCAGAATCCTCGAATATGCACAAAAAAACTGTTGACAGAAAGAGTTGATAGAGAAGATGTGGAGGACAGCTCAGAACATTTGGTTTTGGGAGACTTTGATGAGACATGTTTGAGTTTATATTGAGCTGACTTTTGATTGGAAAATTCAAATCAGTGTCCAAAGAAGTTATTGATCTCGTCTAAAACTTTAGAAGAGACTCATGGGATTTTTTAGGGTCTTTTTCTCTTGGAAATAATCAGAGAATCAGAAGATTTAAGCAAAAACCTCTATTTGCGCTCATTGGTGATATTTTTCTTCTTCTACAGGGTCAGTCACACTTTTGGACACAAGGGGAAAAAAGTCTCGATTATCTCTCCGTTTAATCTCTTATCTTTCTGAGACAAACAGTTGAGAGATTGGAGATCATATTTGTTATTTTTCTCTCCTACAGGGTCAGTCACTCTCCAGACAGAAGCAAAAGTCTCAATTTGCCCTCAATTTAATCTGTTTGCCGTCTAGAAGAAACAATTGAGATATTACAGAGATGTCATTGCTTTACAAAGAGGGTAATTTGTGAATTCACACAGAAGCAAAAGTCTCCATTTGCTTTCCTATAGAGTCAGTTGCACTTTCAAAGCAAAAGTCTCAAGTTTCTGTCCATTTAATCTCTTTGCTGTTTAGCTGAAACAATTGAGACATTAAAAAAGTGTGTTATTCTTCCATACAGGATCGGTCATGCTTTCACATTCAAAAGTCTCTTTTACTGTCTTGGAGAAACAATTGAGACAATGCAGAGATCTCATTGGTGGTTTATTGGTGATTGGTCACACTTTGCCATCTATCTACACCTGAGTTCCACCTAAACTAGTTCTGAAACAAATCATACAAGAGCAAAAACGTCCTTAGGGAAAAGTAAAAGAACAACAAACCACTTCCCTTAAAGAGAGCAAATAACGCGAACCAATTTAAGCCACCATTCCAAATTAAAAAGAATTGTTTAAGGGTATGAACTAAAAAGGGCAGCTACATTTACGTGAAGAAATGGAATTTGTAATAAATGAGCTTCGTGATCAGCAGGGAGAAGGGAGAAAAGATGAAAACTGCCAATAGAAGGGCAGGGGTTTTTATGTAAATGAATGTGAGAGCTGAAATTAACTCAACCCTCAGGGCGAGTGCGTTATCACTTCGCAGCGTCGATGGAACTCCAGGGAATGGCAGGTTAACATCATAAAACAGCGGCCCAGGTTTGAGCTTCGTTAGGCTTTTTAATTTGAAGAACGTTTTCCGAAGGGATGAATGGGCAGAGAGATTGAGCACCCTGGTCAAGCCAACCTGTAGTGACCTTCACCAACTGTTGTATCCATAATGTGTTTGTGCCTTAACTTAGTGCACTGTTAATGACTATTTTACTGGATGCTAGGATGTTCTGAGGGGTTGCTATGATGTTCTAGGGAGTTTCTATGATGTTCTGGGTGGTTTCTAGGGTGTTCTAGGTTAAGGTTAGGATGTTTTAGTAGGTTTTTGGGGTATTCTGGGTGGGTTCTAGGGTTCTAGACCGTATGAACAATTGTAATAGTGATGTCTAACTTAGCAAGCAATACTAATTAATTCTTTCCCTGCCATTGATGGCATTTTCTGTCTTTTATAAGACAACGTTTATCAACCATTGACGGCATTTTCCGGCTTTCCGTTTTTTTCACTGTTATATAGTAGGGGGCGCTATTACGCATCTTCTTGAAAGAGTACTGAATCTCCGGATCAAAACACAGGCAAAAAATTTGCAGAAACCAGTGTTAAAGCTTTGTAGTCTTTGGGGAAAAAACCCCCCCTCAGCATTCAAGTGTTGATAAAAAAGAATGCATGAAGCTAGATTAAAATGTTTTTTTAATATATAAAAGCAGAGGCACTGTTCTTTCTTTTGATATATTGCATGTTCAGATATTCATACAACGAAATATTCTGGGGGCCATTACATTTTTGTGAAAATGATCAAAAACGCTGTTGGGGAAAGAGTTGACATCTTTATACTCACTGACACCCCAACATCTGAACTTTGCATTTTGTTATTTATCCTAATTCAAACACTTTCTTTTTACAGAAATGGCCACCTGGTTACCAGCGGTCCTACTGGTGCTACAAGTAACCGCTGCATCCTCTGAAGAGCCCATACTCGAGTTTTCCACGGACACACCCATCAATAATGTGGCATGGGACTCCCTGACCGGGCGTGTTTACCTCGGTGCAGTCAATGCTATTTATCAATTGGACTCTTCATTGAACATTGAGGCCAGATCTGAAACGGGGCCCAAGAAAGATGCGAGGGGTTGCACACCTCCAGTGTCTACTTGCCAAGACCTGAAAGACACCAACAACACCAATAAACTGTTGCTGGTTCATTCGACTAACGGGTCGCTGATAGTCTGTGGGAGTTTATACCGAGGAATCTGCTCTCTGCTCAACCTCACCAACGTCAAAGAACAGATATACTACAGCGACAGCAAAGGGGAACGGACTTATGCTGCCAGCACCGAAGAGCACGTTTCGGTGGTGGGCGTCATGGCCACGCTTGAATTGGATGACAAACCGTTCAACGTCTTTTTGGTCGGGAAGGGCTACGGAAGTATGGACAGCTCAAAACTCATCAGCACCAGAATCGTGCAGAACTATCGCGACTGGGTCGTGTTCGAGAGCATCATCGAGGCGTCTACGGTCCAGGCAGTTCCCTTCGTGCCCAAGTACCTGCACGACTTCCGATTTGCCTTCAAAAATGACAACTTTGTCTATTTCCTCTTTTCGCGCACTCTCGGTGGAACGGACAACAAGAACTTTACTTTCGTTTCGCGCCTCTGCGAGAACGACAATCACTACTATTCGTACACGGAGCTTCAGCTTAGTTGCGGCCAGAAGAATCGCTACAATAAAGTCCAGGCCGCGTATTTGACCGAACCGGGGAAAGAGCTGGCCCAAGTCATGTCTGAATCCGGAGAGTATGGGAATATTAGGGAATGGGATAAAGTCCTGTTTGTGGTGGCTAGCTCAGAGGAAGGGGCCACTGAATCAGCTCTGTGTATGTACCCCCTTAAAAACATCAACCAGAAACTGTTGGCCATCGTTACCGCTTGCTACACGGACAACGGCAAGATTGACGACAGATTAGTTGTGGAGAGTCCCTACACATCCAGTAAAGACGAACCATGTGTCAAACACGATGTAAGTAGCAGTTTTTCTTAACATTGATCAATGACACAAATGCCTGTTTTGAAGCTGAAAAGTTATTTGTGTCATGAAAACTCTTTGAGAGATTGGCATGTTAAAGGTTATGGCAATGTTAAGGTATTTGGTCTTGGGGGAATCAGAGCCGGACAGTAACGGAGTACATTTACTTGAGTACAGTACTTAAGTACAATTTTGAGGGATCTGTACTTTACTCGAGTATCATTTTTGGGGAGTACTCATGACTTTACTCAAGTACATTTGAGAGGCAAATATTGTACTCTTTACTCCACTACATTTCTATCCATAACCGTGAGTACCCGTCACTACTTCAAAAAAAAAAAAAAGAATGGAACAAAGAAAAATCTCAGAAACCCTCAATTTGTTTGTCAAGGTGATTGTCCTTCTCAAACGTGATTGGATTGTGCAGGCGCCACTGATTGGGACAGCCTATCAACAATCACCTTCAGCTTTCCACCAAAGTCAACTCCATGGTCAGATTTAGATAAGAGACGAAACCATGGACGAAACAATGGATGAAGACGCAGCAGGTCCATCCCGTGAATGTGCCAACCCGTGGCCCCACCTCGCCAGACTATTTCAATTTTCAGAATTTTCTGAAATTTTCTTAAATGTTAAATAAAGCAACATGGTAAAAAGATGAAAATGACTTGATTTTACTTTCAATTCCTTTTACATTCTCCAAGGTATTAACATTAACATTTTTCATAACTCCATGTAGGACGTTTCTGTACATAAATGTAAGCACTGTGGCAGTAGTAATGCAATATTTAGAAAATGTACTCTTGTACTCTTGATACTCAAGTACTTTTAAAAACAAGTACTTCAGTACTTTTACTTAAGTAGACATCTGACTGTAGTACTTTTACTTGTACTTGAGTAAAATTTAGCAAGGGGTATCTGTACTTTCACTCAAGTAATAAAGCTGTGTACTCTGTCCGCCTCTGGGCGGAATACAGAGTACCGAGACTTGCTACTGCCAATACATTCACGGACATTCCTTTTATCATGGAAGACATGCAGCAGCTGCACCTGTAACATACATGAAATAACCGCCGTAGCAGATCTATACAGGTGGAGCTGGGGAAGGTGGAGGGTTTCTGAAGGCGCTGCACACTGATAACTGCAACACTACCGTTATTTGAATGTTGAGCCGCAGCTCATTGGCCGCTGATAGGTATTTCTTTGCAGTTTAACAACTAACAATGTTAAGCTTTTTTAATAGACCCAAAGGTGTATGTATTATGAGCCTCTACTAAATATTTAAATATCCGTTAATGGTTTTAAAAGGACATGAAATGTCTGAAGTTCATTTTTTATCATTCTGCTTCGACATCCGTCATTTATTTGGAAATAAAGGAAAATGGAAATTTTCCCTCAAACATATTCATGAAAATAGATTATGTGTTTAGCTTTATATTGGATAAGTTTTGCTTGCTAACTTGTATAATATATCAAACACATTAGTGTAATTAACTAATATGTAACTTGCTTATCTGGGTTTAATTTTTTCCTGAATATATTCTATTACACTTTCTTTTTATATGCTTTCTTTTGAAAGAACCCCACTTTTTTTGAGTGATTTCACCGCTGCTTACGTCCTGAAATTATCCCGGTGACAATGGGGTTTTAGATTAGAAAACTGCTGCTACTTTTGTGCTTAACATACAGCACCCGAAGAGTAGAGATGTACAAAATGTGCTCTTTTTCAACCTGTTTTACTTCTGAGATGTAGTGAAAGAAAATACAAGAAAACATTTAGGCATTGTAAAAAAATATCTTGGAGTCAGAGCAAATTATATTTTGATGAAAGATTAACAAGACAGTAAGTGCAGGAACATATATTTAAAAAGTACATTTAGTACATTTCATGTGTATTTAAGTGTCTGTTTCCCTTTACTCTTTGTTATCTTGCAGAAAGACATTGTGAACCAGTATAAGTGCGGAGCCGATTTTCTTCCATCTCCGCTGGCCAGTCGGCAGGAGTTTGCCTTGAAGGCCAATACAGTCTTCATCAGGCAGAACCTGCTGACCGCAGTGGCTGTGGCTGTCGAGAACGATCACACCATTGCCTTTCTGGGCCACAATGCTGGAGAGGTGATCAAGGTGAGAAGTTCTGTTAAATTCAGGAAACTACATTCACAAGGTGCTCAAACCCTCATCTGAGGTGCTATAACCCATATAGTTGAGGTCTTGATGTTCATTAGTTATGTAAAAATAACAATGCAGAATGACTTTTGAATGTGAACTATAAACTATTCATTTAAAAGGATACTTCACCCTAGAATGAACATTTACTCACCCTGATGTCATTCTGAACCTGTATGGCTTTCTCTTCTGTGGAAGACAAATGATTAATGTTTCTGTCCAGTTATTTTCAATATAATGAAAGTAAATGAGGCCTGCTGCTGCCAAGCTTTAGAATTGACAAAAAGTCATCATAAAACTATCAATCAATCAGTCTGTGTATATTTATAGAGCATATTTAAACACAATCGAGGTTGACCAAAAGTGCTTTACAACGAATACAAGAATCACAATGAATTTAAGAAAAATAAACAAATTAAAAATCTGTTAAATTGACCGAATGCAGCAGCTCACTTAAGGAGAATATTATCAGTAAGTGACTTAAAAAAAACAAAAAACAAAACTTTTGTATGACTTCAGAAGACTTGAAATATGGTGCAAAAGTCATGTTTACTTTTTTATGACACTTTAGTGTCTTTTTGAAGCTTAAAAGATTAGAAGATAACAGGAAAATTATGCATTTCGGCTGTTGTTCAGTTCTGTTATTAAGTTAATTTCATCTATAAAGCAGTTCTGTAAAAAATGTCATCATCCAGCTCAGTTTAGTTCTCATACAACAGCGTCAGTAGAGTCAGATCAATAATGTTGAATATTAAAAGCCTCAGTCCTCATTAATTATAATTGCACAGTAAAGAGCATGACGACGAGTACATGAGGATGAGTAAATCACACGAGGACAAGTACATGAGGACGAGTAAATGACACAATGAGGACGAGTAAATGACACAATGAGGACGAGTAAATGACACAATGAGGACGAGTAAATGACACAATGAGGACGAGTAAATGACACAATGAGGACGAGTAAATGACACAATGAGGACGAGTAAATGACACAATGAGGACGAGTAAATGACACAATGAGGACGAGTAAATGACACAATGAGGCAATGAGGACGAGTAAATGACACAATGAGGCAATGAGGACGAGTAAATGACACAATGAGGACGAGTAAATGACACAATGAGGACGAGTAAATGACACAATGAGGACGAGTAAATGACACAATGAGGACGAGTACATGACACAATGAGGACGAGTAAATGACACAATGAGGATGAGTAAATGACACAATGAGGACGAGTAAATGATAGAATGAGGACGAGTACATGAGGATGAGTAAATAACACAATGAGGACGAGTACATGAGGATGAGTAAATGACACCGTGAGGACGAGTAAATGATAGAATGAGGACGAGTAAATGACACGAGATTAACGTGAGGACGAGTAAATGACACAATGAGGACGAGTACATGAGGATGAGTAAATTACACCGTGAGGACGAGTACATGAGGACGAGTAAATGACACAATGAGGACGAGTACATGAGGATGAGTAAATGACACGAGAACAACGTGAGGATGAGTACATGAGGATGAGTAAATGACACCGTGAGGACGAGTAAATGACACAATGAGGACGAGTACATGAGCACGAGTAAATGACACAGTGAGGACGAGTAAATGACACAGTGAGGACGTGTAAATGACACAATGAGGACGAGTAAATGACACCGTGAGGACGAGTAAATGACACAATGAGGACGAGTACATGAGGATGAGTAAATTACACCGTGAGGACGAGTAAATGACACAATGAGGACGAGTACATGAGGATGAGTAAATTACACCGTGAGGACGAGTACATGAGCATGAGTAAATGACACCGTGAGGACGAGTAAATGATAGAATGAGGACGAGTACATGAGGATGAGTAAATGACACCGTGAGGACGAGTAAATGACACAATGAGGACGAGTACATGAGCACGAGTAAATGACACCGTGAGGACGAGTAAATAACACAATAAGGACGAGTACATGAGGACGAGTAAATGACACCGTGAGGACGAGTACATGATAGAATGAGGACGAGTACGTGAGGATGAGTAAATGACACGAGAACAACGTGAGGATGAGACGATGAGTACATGAGGACGAGTAAATGACACCGTGAGGACGAGTAAATTACACGAGGATGAGTAGATGAGGACGAGTAAATGACACCGTGAGGACGAGTAAATGATAGAAGAATGAAGATGAGTATATAACGCAGTGAGGATGAATAAATGACACAATGAGGACGAGTACATGAGGATGAGTATATAACACAGTGAGGATGAGTAAATGACACAATGAGGATGAGTATATGACACAGTGAGGATAAATAAATGACACAATGAGGACGAGTACATGAGGATGAGTAAATTACACCGTGAGGACGAGTACATGAGCATGAGTAAATGACACCGTGAGGACGAGTAAATGACACAATGAGGACGAGTACATGAGCATGAGTAAATGACACCGTGAGGACGAGTAAATGATAGAATGAGGACGAGTACATGAGGATGAGTAAATGACACCGTGAGGACGAGTAAATGACACAATGAGGACGAGTACATGAGGATGAGTAAATGACACCGTGAGGACGAATAAATGACACAATGAGGACGAGTACATGAGGATGAGTAAATGACACGAGAACAACGTGAGGATGAGACGATGAGTACATGAGGACGAGTAAATGACACCGTGAGGACGAGTAAATTACACGAGGATGAGTACATGAGGACGAGTAAATGACACCGTGAGGACGAGTAAATGATAGAATGAGGATGAGTATATAACACAGTGAGGATGACTAAATGACACAATGAGGATGAGTATATGACACAGTGAGGATGAATAAATGACACAATGAGGACGAGTACATGAGGATGAGTATATAACACAGTGAGGACGAGTAAATGACACAATGAGGATGAGTATATGACACAGTGAGGATGAGTATATGACACAGTGAGGATGAGTATATGACACAGTGAGGATGACTAAATGACACAATGAGGACGAGTACATGAGGATGAGTAAATGACACAGTGAGGACGAGTATATGACACAGTGAGGACGAGTAAACGACACAGTGAGGACGAGTATATGACACAGTGAGGACAAATAAATGACACAATGAGGACGAGTACATGAGGATGAGTAAATGACATGAGAACAACATGAGGACGAGTAAATGACACAATACTCATTTTTGGGTGAACTAACCCTTTAAACTAACTTTTCCACAATGTAAAAATAACCAAAAATTGACAGTCTGTAGGAGGACGTGGAACAAGAGCAGAATGTTAGGCATTGTAAAAGAAATGTTGAGGAAACGAACATCTCTGGAAATTTGAGACAACCAATTAGTGAACCGCTACAAGCAGCTCGCTACCTGATGTCACACACCTGAATTAGCAGGCGTGTCACAAAGCTGGAGTTTAGGCTTTGGCAGGTGAGGGAATTGGTGGGTGAATGTGGCGAATCTCTGACAGAGGGATGAAAGAGAAAAAGATATCACTGACGAAACCCCTCGCTACCGCAGATACAACTAAACCCTGTTAGACGTTATATTAGAAATAATGAACAGCTCGCTCAACTTGAGTCCAATTCTTACACTCAAATAAAAAGGCTTTGTTAGAGCTGATTATTTTCAGGACAGACAGATGAAATTGAGCGATAGATGGATAAAAACCAGTCCGGATGCAGGTTTTTGTGAGTTCCCTGTGAATGGAGCTGTGGTTTTATGGTCATTATGTGGCTTGTAGGCAGTTAACTGAGGGTTGACACGTTGTCAGGTGTGGCTCAGGTGCGCTGAGGGGGTTTTGTGTGGTCTGTAAATATGACAGATGTGTTCTTTCCTGTGCTCGACTCTTTTAATTGTGCGTTTCTGTGTCTATTGTTCTCTCTTTACCCAGGTACATTTGTCAAGCTTACCAGAGGCGTACAACCCCGGTCCGGGCTACAAAGCCAGCGGCTATGTAAATAAGAACCTTTTCTTTGACAAAACCAAGGCGCACTTGTACATCACCACTGAGAAAAAGGTACGAGGCTGGAGTCATTTATCACAGACGGTGTGCTCAGTAGCTCTTTGATTATCGCCGCCTCAACCTCAGGAAACGCATGATTGCACCTATTTGAGGGCCTTTTATTGTTACCAAAATACACATTGTCATTTTTTTAATGCAATTTGAAGGTATTGGTATAGTGTACGTCTTGCTGAGTCTATGACCTTACAGTAATGTAATTGCAGTGTTTATGAGGCGGTGATGTATTGAAATCATTCATGCTTTCTTGTTTGTCGTTTTCTCTGTAATTTTCTGCAATTAATTCAGCTTGAACCACTTCACTTACAGGCTTTGTTTAGATCGGTTCATTTCCGTATAAACATCATACTTTTCAAGAAACTTCCTTACTTTGTATGGTTTTAAAGTTTTTTTTGTGACTTTTTAAAACAGTGATGGCATCATTATAATTTGGCTACTGAATTGTGATTGGTTTTGCATTGCATTCTTTGATGCTGATTGGTCAGTACGGCATTCCAGCTTTATTTGAATCATTTTATGATTTTGTGGTTCTGCAGATCACGAAGGTGCCCGTACAGGCCTGCCATCTGAAGACGGACTGCCAGACCTGCGTCACTCAGAGAGATCCATACTGTGGCTGGTGTGTCCTGGAGGGAAGGTACCTACGTTTATTTTTAAACATTTTTCAAATAGTGCTAATGTCTTTGGCATCCTGGTGCTCATATGGAAGATAAAGGTTTGAATCCAGCAATGAGTCCCTATTCCTCCATCTCTCACTGTTTTCCTGTCTATTTCCACTGTGCTTGCCAAATAGTATTTAAAAAAAATATATATATATATATATAACATGATAATAATAATACAAAATAATTCTGTGTGAGGGGGTGTATATATATATATATATATAAATATATATATAAATATGATAGATGGATGGATGGATGGATGATAGATAGAAACACAAAAAGCTAAAAAAATGCTTATTTAATGATTGTGAGATTATTTGTGTATATTTTGTTTTTATGTAATTTAATGATTCTTGGGGAAAAATCATTTATTTCTTATATGTATTCAGTATATTTACATACACTTCTTATTTATTTTATATGGTTGTGGATTATATATATATAAACATTTAAAATGTTTTATTATTATGATTTTACATTTGAATTAATTAAATTAAGGTTTTTATTGTAAGTACCGGTAATAAGTAATTAAAAACCATAAATAATACTTGCATATATTTAATAATTTTGATGTTATGTGTATATATCTTATTTGTATATAGTTTATATTATATATACTTTTATATTTATTTTATATTATTGTGTAATATATATATATATATATATATATATATATATATATATATATATATATATATATATATATATATATATATATATATATTGTGTGTGTGTGTGTATATATATATATAATTATTTTATTATTATTATTATTATTATTTAAAATTGTATTGAATTCATTATTTTCATTGTACAATTGACAATTAAAATGTAACTAATTGGATTAATGATTCTTATTCTATTATTTACAGAATACTAAAATGCAATGTAAAGACAATCCTGTTTTCCCTGAAGTGTTGTATTATAATATTGTTGTATTTAATTGCAGGAGAAGCGTTGTGTTTTAATGCGTTATTGATTGTGTAGATGCACCAGGCGATCGGAGTGCAGTCGTGCGGAGGAAAAGAACGGGTGGCTGTGGAGTCCAAACCAACAGTGTGTGAAAATCGTCTCTTTCCACCCGCCAAATCTCAGCTGCTTGAAGTCCCAGCAGGTACTAGCCCGGGTGTCGCGGACACAATTACCAGAGTCTTATTTTTAAACCAGACTGCTCAGCACTGATTATGAGAAAAGCTGAGCATGACTCCCACACAATGAGGCCATATTGGTGAACAGACGGTGAAAACACAATGGGCGCTGATGGCACGTGTAGAATTCTGCTCTAAAGGTGCTGTTTTTGTGTTTTGCACTTCATTGCAATACGTTCTCTGATTATGGCCTGTGTGTATTAACTGGACCATTCTAGCGGTTTTATTGAGAGAAATGTTTAGAAGATATTTGTAAAAGAATATTCTTATGGAATGACGAGAATTATTCAGACAAAGTTTGGAAATTTTATCTTATGAAGCCATAGCCTAGAGGTTCCACCTCAACACATTGAGCTTCTTTCTAAAACACGAGAATTTTCCTCATAAATCCATCATTTTTTAATTGGATTGCATGGAACAAACCTAACCAGTCATCTCCTTATAATATGTATAAATTAAAATGGCAAAAAACGGAAATGCTATGTATTGTTTCAAAGATTGAAATGAAGGATTGTTTTGCTTATTTCTCTCATATCAGCACAACTGTGTGAGTTCAGAGTTTGTCAAATGTCTCTCAGGTTGAGATAAACGTCCGATCGCTGCCGGTCCTCAGAGACTCGGACCGGATCCACTGTGTCTTTGGCTCTTACCCCAGCGGCGGCAGGATGGTGGACGGCAGAATCAGTTGCCGTTTACCTGAACAGCCTCTTATACCCTCGACTCCTGCACACCAAGGTACAGTACGTCACTCGTCACAACACACGAGATCTGAGCGGCCTTTTACAGTTTTACACACTCTCTGCACACTGTTTACACTGTTTAATACATGTTTATTTTAGTTAGTTATTCTATAAATAATTTTAGTTACTGGTATATAATATTTAGTTATTTTATAAAGAATTATTTTAAAATATTTATTTTATTATATTATTTATTGTTTGGGTATATGTAAAGTAGCAATTAATGAATTATAATATATATATATATATATATATATATATATATATATATATATATATATATATATATTTATTTATTACTACATACTGTATATTATATAGTTATATTTATATATGTATTAGTTTTAATGAGTAATAAATGTTATTATCATTTATAAAAACAATTTATTGTTCATAATAAATAAATGTTCCTATTTATTGTTTTAATTTAATTAAAATGTAATTATTTATGTATTTGTTTATTTATGTATTAGTTGGCTTCATATAGTTAAGCAAGTTTGTAAAGCAGGTTTAAATTAAATAAAGAACAATAAATTATATAATCGAACAAACATGTTAATAATACATACATTTTATATAATTTTTTTATATCTTATGATAAATTGTATTATTATTATTATTTACATGTTTTTTCAAACTCAAATGCTGTTATTTATTGTGGAAAATCAAAAGGAGATACTGTTGCACTCCTGTTTTTCAACCACATCTGTCAAGCTACAAAAAGAGCAAAAATAACCATTAAAAAGCCCATATGACTGTGAACTCGAAAACTGGATATGAGTTCAAATTCAGCCTGTTCCTCATGCAAAGCTTTGCAATTTAGTTCATATAGTCATATGAACTACTTTTATGGTGCTTTTAGTCGATTTAGGTTTCTTGCACCAAAGATAGATCATAATTTAATGTTTCATGGCCATTTTTTATCTTCTCGCTGACCCTCAGGTTGTTTTTGCTACTGTATCTTTAAGACATCTATGTGCAGATGACCTTTGCTGTGATTGGCTGATCTGACCCCCTGTGTCTGTGTAGATTTCGTGGCGGTTCCGGTCTACATCTTTGTGAACAGTAGCGTGGAGGTCGCGTCCAGCGAGTACAAGTTCTACAACTGCGCAGCGGCAGTTCGGAAAGCAGAAAACACACCGTACGTTTGCATTCTCGCCTTCTATTGTCAGCGAGTGTGTGTGTGTGTGTGTGTGTGTGTGTGTGTCCACTTTGTGCTGACACCACTGTGTGTATAATGAATACGAGCATCTGTAACGATGAGGTTTACTCATAAATTGTAATGCATCACTGAAGCTGGAATTGAATTTGCTTCTATAGAGACTTGCTTACGTTTTTTTTTTTTTTCTCCAAGAGCAGGAAATTGCTTTCGTTTCTCATTCATTCATCACACATGAAAGTCGATCTCTCATCTCTTTTTTCCCCTTCTCCTTGTGTTTTTTTAAGAGCTCTGGGACATTGCTGATGAATGAGTATTATTTGAAGTGCACTGGGACTATATGTTTTTACTCCAAACATTTACACACTGATGAAAAATGTAACTGGAAACCTCTGTTTTAATGGTTGCGCGTGTTTCTCCGCAGATGCACTTCCTGTGTGAGCAGCGCTTGGGGATGTCAGTGGAACATTGCGGCTCACACCTGCACGGATCTGAGCGACGCAGAAACCGGCGCCAATATAATCAAACCCAGACAGGTACTGAGATGAGAGTCAAGCGAGCTCATATGCACCATTTTATTTCTTTTTATCAGTAATTCTGTCTATTACACACCCCAGTTAGCACACGTGCACTGCTGATCAAAAGTTTGTTTTGGAAGAAAGAAATTAATAATTCAATTCAGCAAGGATGTGAACATTTGAGCAAAACTCAAAAAAATGTACATCAACATTTGTAAGAAATTCAAAGTTTGAGTAAGCAGAACTGGCAGATTTTTATTTTGTACTCATACAGTTTAATTACTCTTAACTTGAAATATTTGAGTAAGCTCGTTCATTCATTTAACTTAAAATTGTCATGTAATCTCAACTTAAATATTTTTAGTAGCGGAAACTTGGCTATAACTAGCTAATTCAGGAAATGCTAACTTGTTAATTGGTAACACAATGCTTTGATAGCATCAGCGTAGCATATCAATTGCTGAATGAGTACAGCAACATAGATCATTTAACATATATCTGTTGTCAAACTAAGCTTGTGCTCCGTTCATCACCATGATGGTAACCCCCCCCCCCAAAAAAACCAAAACAAACATAGCATAAGCTCTTCTAAATTAGCATAGAAAAACATGAAACATGAGATTAATCTTGCACACAAAAAAAAAAACACATTTCTATAACACTTAATTTTAGCATTTACTCTCCCTTTCGATTGCCATGGCAAAGCATGCTTGGAAAAAGAAATCCCAGCCCAGTTTAGTTAAAATTAAGTTTCTCTAAATTAAAAGAAACAAGTTCATGAAACTCAAAACAATGAAATAATTCAGATTACTGTAAATGTGTCAGTTCTGTGAACTCAAAAGAAAAAGAAAGTTGTAAATACTCATAAAAGTTCATTTGATTGAACTAATTTGTTTAATTTAAGTTTGACGCTACTCAAATCAATTAATTATTTTGAACTTAATATTTTAATCAAAATGCAAAAATTCCGTCAGTTGGGATTCGGTTAGTTTAGGAGGGAAACAGGGAAAGCACACCTTCTCCGCTCATGTACACACGTTTGGCTAGTTTCCCTGCCCAAAGATGTCTTAAAGATGTCATCTCAAATGAAAAGTTGTTTATTAATGCATTTGATAACTTTTTCTTTCAATAAGACCAGGAATGTGTGTTAGAAAAATAAAAACATTTTCTGAATGTCATCCTAACTTTAGACAGGAAGTGTTTTAGCAAAGTATTGCAGATGAGGAAACTATGGAAGCTAAAAATGACATGTATGAAAAAGCAGACATTGAATAAACGTCTTGGTGATGTATGTGTGCGATCAGCACCATTGATTGGGCCGCTTTGATTAGTTTCATGCGATTCTCATCTTCAAGCACCAGGTCCAACTGGTCCAGACATTTTATTTATTTATTTAAACCGTTTCTTGGAGCATAAAGCTGAGTTATTGATATCCAGTGCCAGCAATTTCAGAAATGGCCTCCACACTGTTTGATATTTGCTGTTTCCTGGAACAGTCACACGTGGCTGATGAAATGTGGACACCAAGTAAATGACTTCACTCAGAAAGTTTTAATGTGAAACGTATTAGCTGAATCAGCAAAATGAAAAAAACAAATAGATGGGGAAAAAATGGATTATATGCAATTATATTATTATATTTCAGCTGTAAATAAACGGTTTCATTCATGCACGTCATCATGGTTAATGAGTTTTTCAGTTTCAATTGACGCTCGTTAGTTTATGTTGGATGTAAATTAAGAATCGCTCGGAAGATTGCCGTAGATGAGTACTTTCCATACAGCAGAACAGATTTCTGCATCTTCTGTGTGTTCTAGAACAAGAGCTGTCCACGCTTCGAGAACCCAGATCCCGTCCTTATCCCGGTCGGACACAAAACCCGGATCAGTTTTGAGGGCATCAATCTGGACCCGTACAGGGTGAGTTCAACTTCCTGGCCTCCTTTTAACAGTAAATGTCTTCTTCAAGGTCACTAGGGATAAAAAAAAAAATCTATATTTTTATTAAAATAAAATCAATAAATAAAAATTGAATGTAAAAAATAAAATAAACCATCAGTATTTTGTTGTCAGTATCTTCTTTTCCAAAACAAAGTTGCATACGATATTAAGTAGATAAAATATGATCATTATAAGTAATCTAATTTAGAGCTATGAAACCATTAATCGCATCCAAAATAAAAGTTTGTGTTTACATAATATATCTGTGTGTGTACTGTGTATAATTATTTTGTAAATATAAATACACACACATGCATGTGTATATTCAAGAATAATGTGTTATTTATATAATATAAAATATTTATATTTATATAGATAATATACATTATATATAATCACAAATAAATAATTATTAAATACATGATATTTACAGAAACATAAATCAAATAAAATGTATTATTAAATAATTAATAAAAGCAGCATGTATTAACATTTGCTTAGAAAAGGCTCAAAATTCAAAGACTTTATTTTTCGAAATAATAAAAAATACTTTTTATTTATATAATTAATCACACTAAAATAATGTGCTTGGTTGACAGCCCTAATATTTAGACTTGTTTTCAGATGATATATCCATTGGAATTTTTTTTAAGGTTCAAGAATAACAATTATTATTATATAATTATATATACTTATTCATTTATTTATTTTTTAACTATGAAAAAATGGCAATAAAAAATAAACTTCAACGTGTATTGTCATGTTTTGCTTCAAAGTCAGTTTGTCTTTTTTTTAAGGATGTCTTTATATGTTTTCTGGACAACAAGACAAATACTGATTCAGAAAATTATTTTTGGCAGTCGATTCATAATCCGGTTATAGTGTTCCTCTAAACGGGTCCTAAAGTCCGGCTTCTTCCATCATTTCCTGTCCTCTTACCTGTGAATAAATGTGAACAGAGGGTTTTCAGTTGATGTTTTCTGAATTGTGCCTCATTAGGATCGTGATTTCACCATCGGAACGGAGCTGATGAAGATTGAGGAAGATGTCAAGACAGAGTCGGGACCCTTCTACTCTTTCAGCGGATATGTGGTTAGCTTCAGTTTCTCTCTCTTTATTTTTCCTCATGTTGCCCAAGGCAGTCTGTTGTTCCTGTACTGTAAATCTTTTCATATACAAAACTCTTGCTAAATGATACACAACCAATTACCAACATAAAGATTCACCTACCCACACTTCTCCAATGGCTCTAGTGGGAGTTTGAGATTACAGCTCCCCCTGTTGGAAAGTGTCCAGCCTGTAAATCACCTCTAGTCTTTAATGTGGAGGAGAGAACGGTCGGTGTTGACTCACCCTTTAATCTCTCTTCCAGTTTTCCTTTGATAAAGCTCACGAGACCAACGTTCTGTTCCACGTAAGAGACAAACACACGAGAAAGAAGATCGACAGCAGTCTCAGTGGTAATCGCTCGCACTCGCTTTTCACTCACGCTCATGTCGTTCCAAACCCGCATGACTTTCTTTCTTCTGTGGAACATAAATATTATCAATAGTTCAATAAATAAGAAGTTCATGTATTATATTTTAGTCTGTTTTTCATATTGGAAATGCTGTGGAAATGCATTCATGCTTCAATAAACGCCTGTAAATATACAGTAACTAAATACCAATTCAATGAAATCATGGCAGTTGAAGCCTAAACATCCATGTGTAATAAACTGTATGTTGAATCCAAAAACGATTTCCTTCTAAAGCTACTTTCTGTCATTTTCTCATTTAAAGGATTGGTTCACTTTTAAAAAAACTTTTGCTGATAATTTACTCACCCCCATGTCATCCAAGATGTCCATGTCTTTCTTTCTTCAGTCGAAAAGAAATTAAGGTTTTTGATGAAAACATTCCAGGATTTTTCTCCATATAATGCACTTTACTGGGCACCAAACGGTCCAAGGTCCAAAAGACAGTTTCAGTGCAAACTGCAAACTGTTCAAATGGTTTTAAATGACACCAGACGATGAATAATGGTCTTATCAAGCGAAACGATCGCTCATTTAAAAAAAAAAAAAAAGTTTAGGTTTTATAAGCTCAAATGCTCGCCTTGCTCTGTTCTGTGTGACTCTCCTGTTCGAACTCGTTCATCAAAATGAACAAATGTCTTTCCGAGTCAATTCGTTCATTTCGGTCGTTAAATGAATCAAATGACTCGAAAAAAGATTTGTTCATTTTGATGAACGAGTTCGAACAGGAGAGTCACACAGAACAGAGCAAGGCGAGCATTTGAGCTTATAAAACTTAAACGTTGTTATTTGTTTTTTTAAATGAGCGATCGTTTCGCTTGATAAGACCATTATTCATCGTCTGGTGTCATTTAAAGCCATTTGAACAGTTTGCAGTTTGCACTGAAACTGTCTTTTGGACCTTGAACCGTTTGGTGCCCAGTAAAGTCCATTATATGGAGAAAAATCCTGGAATGTTTTCATCAAAAACCTTAATTTCTTTTCGACTGAAGAAAGAAAGACATGGACAACTTGGATGACATGGGGGTGAGTAAATTATCAGCAAAAGTTTTTTTAAAAGTGAACTACTCCTTTAACACAATAATGAGTTTTTGTGTGTGTTTGACGTGTTTGTGTGTGTTTCAGTCACTCTGTATAACTGCTCTCTGGGACGTGAAGACTGCAGCTTGTGTAAGAACGCCGACCCCAAATATCAGTGTGTGTGGTGCAAGCAGACCAGCTTGTGTGTGTACGACCAGCTCTGTGCCTCTAAAGAGCTGGAGGAGTGTCCCGACCCCCGGATCACTGACGTGAGTACCGAATCAGGGCTTTTATGGGACAAACGAGACATTTTCCCAAGTTCATGATGTGCTTTTAACAATCGTCAATACTCAAAACACAGCTCAGAAAGTTCAAGCAATAATTTAGAACTTCTCTCATTCTCCTTCCCTATTTTCACACATTTTTGAGGGTAAAAATCAATATAAACCTCAGATCAGGTTCTATCTTGATGACTGAATTACTGATGGGAATAGAAATAAATAATTTTTTACTGTTGTTTTAGTGAGATTGGTTATCTCAGCTCATCTCTGTGGTGTTTTCTCAGAGCGGTCCATGATTAGGATCTTTTTGTAATGTATTTCAGATCACGCCGAGATACGGGCCGCTGAAAGGAGGAATAGCTGTCACGATTAAGGGCTCGAACCTGGGCGTTCAGAAGGACGACATTAAAAACATCACAGTGGCCGGAGTGCCGTGCAAACACCTGCGGGAGCGTTACTCCGTCTCAACCAGGTAACATCAGAAGCTGAGGCACTTTCCATGAATAATGTTCAGAAAAAGGTTGATGTGTGTATATATATATTTATTTATTTGCGATCCTCATATAAAATGACATTTTCCGCAGTTTAAGCATTTTATTATACATATATATACATATAACGCATTAACGCATGCGATAAATTTTTGTCCAGTTTAACGCGTTAAAATATTTAACGCAGCATCCATTCATTTTTGTCATCCTTTGACTAGCTTTACATTATATGGTGCTGCTCTTATTCTTACAAATGCTTTTAAACCATTCAAGTTTTAAGAGAATGACCTGTCTAGTGTCTATGTGACACACACACACAATGCACAGAAAGACGTGCGCCAGTATCGTGCGCACAGACAGCGCGCCAGAATATAGTTCTCTCTCGCGCTTGAATGAACAATAACACACACAATTATGCCAAATGTCCATTTTGTCAAGTATCCTCATAACATAAGAACAGTCTTAAATGTGTTAAATAAAGTCTTAAATGAACGTAAAGAGTTGTGAGAGAACGAGACGCGTGTGAGATCCGCAGCGGCAGGTCTTAAAGTGACAGTAGCCAATAATTATGTCTGTCAGTAAAGTTAATCAGAGAACAAAGGTAACAGAGAAAATTATTCACTGCTCTTGAGTTAAGAACTTTTGTAGCTTTGATAAGGATTAGTCTACATTTAATCTATAATGTATGCATTGCAGACTGTTTGATAAGTTTATTCAATTTGTGTATATTGTTCTGTATATGTTAGACAGGTAGGAAGGGCACAGGTAAATATGACATTAATTACGGTAAGGTTTATGTGAGGATTGTTATATTTTTTGAAGCGTAATAAATGTTAAGAAAAATGTATAGCTTTCAATTACACTGTAATGTTGAATGGCTATAATTAATTGTTTAAAATGGGGGTGGGGTCATTTTCATGGAGACATAGAGCTGTATTATAATTTCATGACATAGAGCTGTATTAGTATCAGTGATACTGACCTTCATTCATAAAAAGATGACATTAGATTAACTGTGAAATGATTACATTATAAAATATATCAACTAAATATAAACCCATAAAAGCTCTTTTTAATTGTGATTAATTGCGATTAACCACAGAAAAAAATTGTGATTAATCGAGTTAATTTTTTTAATTGATTGACAGCATATATATATATAAATACTGTATAGCTATATCTCACATATATATATATATACACACACAGTATATATATATGCTTAATTTACAGAAAGTGTCATTTTAAATGAGGATTGCAAATTTTTTAACCCTGTTACAAAAAACGCAGTTTAAAACACTGATTTTTGTCTTTTTCTAGCTGCAAACCAAAAAAACCCTCAAAATTAAACAAACTATTTATACAAATGCAAAAATGTATGCAAATATTTATGTATGCAAAAATGTGTGTGTGTGTGTGTCCAGAAAGCAGAACAAAAAAAATATATATAGTCACTTTTTCCTATAAAAACGTGCAAGTTATTCATAAACTCTTGCACAAACGGTGTTCGGTATTGAACAAGCTCTTATAAAATGAAATCCCTGCTGGACTTTGAGTGTGCAGATCTCTGTGGTACCAAATGGCCTGAATTTTTTTTAGCGAACGTCCTGTATGAGAAATCTGGTTCATTCGAAGCTTAATAAAAAAATAATTACCCAGAATTCGAACATTTAAAAATGCCCTCAAGAATGATCTAAATAATCTTTTAGATGTTCTGCTCAAGGCTTCGTATTATGTTTGTCTATCCATGGAATATTAAATGTGCATGAGTTTGCCCTTGCATTCCCTCTTGTAGAACAACATTAGATTTGTACATTTTTAAAATACGGAACAAGTTGTGTAGATTCAGAGACAACGATGAGGCAATGTCAGGCTTGGCTGAGTCTGTGATTCTACATCAGGCTTTATCAACTCTGCTGTGAGCGTTCAGCCTGACTGAGTGTTTGTCTGGCTGTTAACAAGTTTGAAAAGGATCTTTCAGCAGGAGAGTTTGGCTTCAGAATGGTAAATACGCTCTCGGAGAGTTCACTGTCAGAAGAGTCTGTCTGGGGAGGCTGACGTCCAGATTTCAGGGCAACAGAATAATAAGTTTTCTTATTTGGCACATTTCAGACGTAATGGATCTGGAATCTGTGGGTTTGGTGTTAATCTTTTGATGTTAATCTTTTCGGCATGTTTTAGGTTATCTTGTCTTCTGCTCATTTTGACCTTGTCTAGAATCCATTAAGGGTTAAAGAAATGTTCCAGGTTGAATACAACTTAAAGGGTTAGTTCACCCCAAAATGAAAATTCTGTCAGTAATTACTCACCCCCATGTTGTTCCAGCCCAGTAAGACTTTCGTTCATCTTCGGAACACAAATTAAGATATTTTTGATTAAATCTGAGAGCTGTCTCACTCCTCCATAGGCTTCTATGTTATTGAAACTTGCCGGCCCAGAAAAGTTAGTAAAAACGTTAAAATAGTCCGAGTGACTACAGTGGCTCAATCTTAAGTTTATCAAGCGACGAGAAGATTTTTTGTGCTTAAAATCAAACAAAAATAACGACTTTATTCAACTATTCATTTCCTTCTCTGTGGGCCGTGAGATTTTACGTAGTGAAACTTCGCAAAGCTTCTGTGTTGTACGTCACACGCATCACACACATGACCAGCGTCGGCCAATAGTGAGCCTACGTGTGACGTACAACACAGAAGCGCTGCGCAGTTACACTACATGAAATCTCACGGCCCACAGAGAAGGAAATGAATAGTTGAATAAAGTCGTTATTTTTGTTTGATTTTAAGCACAAAAAGTATTCTCGTCGCTTGATAAACTTAAGATTGAGCCACTGTAGTCACTCGGACTATTTTAACGATGTCTTTAATAACTTTTGGGCCGGCCAGTTTCGATCCCTTAAGAAGCCTATGGAGGAGTGAGACAGCTCTCAGATTTAATCAAAATAAAATATCTTAATTTGTGTTCCGAAGATGAACGAAAGTCTTACGGGGTTGGAACAACATGAGGGCGAGTAATTACTGACAGAATTTTCATTTTGGGGTGAACTAACCCTTTAAGCTTCATCGATCTGAGGATTTCCACAAAAAAAATTATTCCACCTCGTCCTTCAGTTTGTAAAAACATTTAGTAAGCATAGAACATGTATTTTCTAAATGCATTAATTTACTGTTTTATTTATAGTATTTCTTATTGTGTGTATATATAAATACACACACACACACACACACACACACATATACGGTATATATAATTGTTATATTATGATTGTAAATATATATATTATGTATATATATATATGTGTGTGTGTGTGTGTGTATATATATATATATATATATATATATATATATATATATATATATATATATATATATATATATATATATATATATATATATATATATATATATATATATATCACAATTAATGCAGCATCCATTTTTTTCCCTTTCATCCTTCTGCTGCGTTACCTTTAATACATATGTTGACAGGCAGGTAGGACATCCTATCATTGCATTCGGACCGAATGCAATGATTGGACAAACATTTTTTGGTCCTGAGACTCCCACAGAAGATATATGTAGGCCTACTTGTTTTAATATTTAGACCACTTCTATTATTGATTTCTATCAGGACGTGAAGAGAGATTCAACCACCAGTGTAACAAAAAGTGTTTCTAAAAAAATAATTGCCTGTGTGTTTGTTTGTCTGGCAGTGTGGTGTGTGAAATTGGGCCGGTGACACTGTACAGAACCGGAGAGGTGGAAATAGAGGTGGGCAGAGGAAAAAAAGGCGTATCCACAAAAACGGTCCGTTTCACCTACAGGGTGAGTCACGATTCTCCATTACCCAGCATGCACTACACACATACTAATTCTGTGAAACTCCACTTGAGATCCCATCCAGAGGGCTGCCACTGTTTGTGTGAGTCAACGGGAGCTCTCTGCATCTGGTGTGTGTAGTGATGGGCTGGTGGTGTGTGTGGTCACCGGTCACATGCTCCTGCAGGAGTTACAATTATCAGCGGCTGACGGCTTTAGCAGAAATGATTGCATCAGTTTTTCAGGCAGATAGGCTGTCTCAGTCGCTCCCACTGGGAAACGCTGTGGGATGTGTTTGTTCAGGAAACTGATGGGTCTCGGACAGCGCGCAGATGCATTTCGTGGGATTATGTAATCATTACAATGAAATGGTAACACATAGAACACGTCTGTCGTTGCTGGGTATTTGCAGCTATAGACTGAACATGTAATACACATGCGCATGACGTCACTGTTTTCACATTTTTGTAGTTTAAACAGAGACTATAATGGCACCGTTTCCAAAAACTTGCACTTTAGAACCAGTTTTCAAAAGGTTGCGTTTTCAGGCCCACAAAACGCCGTTGTCATGTAAATGAACGACCAAAATGCATTTCCTGTTTTTAGTTGAAAACTGCGTAGTGTAAACGCCTCTAAATATGATCTTTGTTTCTGTAGGACCCCATAGCACAAAACGTGTCTCCTAATCGAGGTCCTAAAGCAGGAGGAACCGTCCTGACTATTACTGGGATGGGCCTGAACACAGCTTCAAAAGAAGACCTTCAGATCTTCGTGGGCGACGTGCCCTGCAGAGTGTGAGTGCATCATGGGAAATGTAGTTTCTGTCTTTTTCATTAGATTTGCCATTTTTGGATTCATTTTTCCATTTTTCTCTCTGTTAGTGAGAGCTTTGGAGATCAGATCACCTGTAAATTGTCTGAGTATCTGGGCGATACGGTTCCATCAGCTCGCCTCGACGTCAGAGTTCAATACGGCAAACACACCACAACCAGCATCAAGACGATCTTTCAGTTCTCCAGCAACCCCTCTGTGTCTGACCATCAGCCCAGGAGCAGCTTCATTTGGTCAGTTCTGTTTGCCAGAAAATACGCCATCCAATCCATCCAATATTGTCCTAGCCACACAAAGCCATTCTTATATCATTACCCTCTTTTGTACACTTATGAATTATTAACCCCGCCATTGAAGGAATTTTCCAGCTTTCCATGTTTTCACTGTTATATGTTGGAGGCTGCTATTATGCAACTTCTGAAAAAGTACTGAATCTCCAGATCAAAACACAAGTGAAGGAGGAGCAGAAACAAGCGATAAAAGCATTGTTAATGCACGTTGTAGAGGGAAAGAATTAAGACATTATTTTGATAAGGATATTTCATATTTTGAGAAGTACATTTTTATCTCAATAAATAAGATATTTTTATTTATTTTGTATAATGTTTACAATGTTTATAAGTAGTTAATATAGGTTTGTATGTATATTTATAATTGAAATGTGTGTATTTATTTATTTAATTTCCTTCCCCTTGGTTTAAATTTAGACAATCTGTATATTTTTTTTTTTTACTTTTCATTGAAAGTACCATTATGTATTGTCTTGTTAAATACCAATAAAAAAAGATTATTATTATATTGATATTATAAATATTTTATTAGTTGATTATTATTTTGTATATTAACTCTTTCTATGTATTTTTTGTTTTTAAATATAATATATAATATAATAAATAATAATATATGGAAAAAGTTGGTAATACAAAATAATATATATATAATATTATATTATATATTTTTTTATATATATTTTCTTGTTTTTAAATGTAATATATTATATTATATATATTTTTTGTTTTTAAATGTAATATATATTATATATATACACTACCGTTCAAAAGTTTGGGGTCGGTACGATTTTAAATACTTTTAAAAGAATTCTCTTCTGCTAACCATGGCTGCGCTTATTTGATTAAAAATACAACAAAAATCAGTTATAGTATTAAATATTATTCCAGTGTAAATCAGCTGTTTTCTGTGTGAATATATAGTAAAGTGTAATTTATTCCTGTGATCAAAGCTGAATTTTCAGCATCACCAGTGTCAGTGTCTTCAGTGTCAAATGATCCTTCACAAATCAGTATAATATGAGGATTTGATGCTCAAGAAACATTTATTATTATTATCAATGTTGAAACAGTTGTTGGTCTGTCAGTTGTACCGTTTTTTTTTTTTTTTTAGGATTCTTTGATGAATAGGAAGTTCAAAAGACTTTTGTAACATTATAAATGTCTTTACTGTCACTTTCGATCAAATTAATTATTCCTTGATAAATAAAAGTATTGATTTCTTTCCTCCAAAAAATAAAAATAAAATTCTCACTGACCCCAAACTTTTGAACGGTAGTGTATATATATATATTTTGTATTATTAACTTGTACAATGTATATATCATTTATAACTTTTATATTATTATTATATATTTTATATTTATAATAAAAAAATATGAATTTATATTTTAAATTATTTTATTATTATTTTTATATGAACTTTTTAATACATATTTAAATCTATAATATATATTATTTTGTATTATTAAATGATATAGAATAAGTTATAAATAAATTATATACAGTTTTGTGTATTTAATTTATTTTATTTAGAGACAACATATAAACGAGACAAGATTGTATTTTATTTATTTATTTACAAAAATAATTTATATCACTTATTTTATGTTTTTATATAAATAATGACTATTATTTTAATTTTAATATATGTATATATTGCTGCCCTTCAGCAGTGTAACCTCAAACTTAGTTAAAAATATATATATTATTGTGTAATGATTGTGTGTATATTTCAGTGGTGGCAGAAAAATCCTAGTGGTCGGTTCTGGATTTGACCTGGTCCAGAAAGCTACTATCAGGGTGGTGGCGTCGGCTGGAGAATGGTCCGAACAGGGCGTCCCAGAGGAGGTGAGTGTCATAAACCTTCAGAGGCTTTCAAGGGAAACGTCACTTGCCGTTTGTTTTTCGTTTCATCTGTTCTTCTCACTGTTGGGTTTCCGTCTTGCATGGCTTGCTCGGGTTCTGATTGAAATGACGAGAGCTTTTCTGATCTGAAGCGCTCAACGAGACGGAGATTAAACAAGCGTTTATCTAACGAGAAACTTGATGAACGCTTCATTTCATCTCCCTTATCTAAGGAGGAGCTTTTGTGCTCCAGACCTTTCTCAAGCGGTCTCACTTCTTCCATCGCTCTTTCTCCATCTGTCTATCTAACAGATTTTTCCGCCCCCACTTGTAGGGACTTTTGCTGCTCCCCCTCAGAATATCAATAGATTTCCCAGCAGCAGTGAAATCTGTTTTTCTACGGTTTTGCATTCTGAGGGCTTTTTGGTCCATGTGCTTGCAAAGGCTGCTGGGAAAAGAGTCAGAAAACTGAGGAGAGTTAAATTTACAGAAGTGATGTAAACTCAATCTTTCTCTTTCTCAGTTTGTCGAGGGTTTCACGCACAAAAACGACAGCGTGATCATGTTCATGTCCCCGGCGGTGAACGAGTCTCAGTTGTTCAGGACGTACGTGCAGCTGGATAACCTCCAGACGGAGCTGACCCCGTTCCAGTATCATCCCGACCCAACGTTTGATCGGCTCAGCAAGACTGTCATCACTGAAAACAGCATGATCATCGTCACCGTGAGTATCCGCTCCACTTTTCACGCTTGTAAACGTGTGTTTGGAGTGTCGGGGTTTTACACGCTTGTAAACGTGTGTTTGGAGTGTCTGAGGGTCAGGGTTTTTCACGCTTGTAAACGTGTGTTTGGAGTGTCGGGGTTTTACACGCTTGTAAACGTGTGTTTGGAGTGTCTCAGTGTCGGGGTTTTCACGCTTGTAAACGTGTGTTTGGAGTGTCTCAGGGTCGGGGTTTTCACGCTTGTAAACGTGTGTTTGGTGTGTCTCAGGGTCAGGGTTTTTCACACTTGTAAACGTGTGTTTGGAGTGTCGGGGTTTTACACGCTTGTAAACGTGTGTTTGGAGTGTCTCAGGGTCAGGGTTTTTCACACTTGTAAACGTGTGTTTGGTGTGTCTCAGGGTCAGGGTTTTTCACACTTGTAAACGTGTGTTTGGTGTGTCTCAGGGTCAGGGTTTTTCACGCTTGTAAACGTGTGTTTGGAGTGTCGGGGTTTTACACGCTTGTAAACGTGTGTTTGGAGTGTCTCAGTGTCGGGGTTTTCACGCTTGTAAACGTGTGTTTGGAGTGTCTCAGGGTCGGGGTTTTCACGCTTGTAAACGTGTGTTTGGTGTGTCTCAGGGTCAGGGTTTTTCACACTTGTAAACGTGTGTTTGGAGTGTCGGGGTTTTACACGCTTGTAAACGTGTGTTTGGAGTGTCTCAGGGTCAGGGTTTTTCACACTTGTAAACGTGTGTTTGGTGTGTCTCAGGGTCGGGGTTTTTCGCGCTTGTAAACGTGTGTTTGGTGTGTCTCAGGGTCGGGGTTTTTCACGCTTGTAAACGTGTGTTTGGTGTGTCTCAGGGTCAGGGTTTTTCACACTTGTAAACGTGTGTTTGGAGTGTCGGGGTTTTACACGCTTGTAAACGTGTGTTTGGAGTGTCTCAGTGTCGGGGTTTTCACGCTTGTAAACGTGTGTTTGGAGTGTCTCAGGGTCGGGGTTTTCACGCTTGTAAACGTGTGTTTGGTGTGTCTCAGGGTCAGGGTTTTTCACGCTTGTAAACGTGTGTTTGGAGTGTCGGGGTTTTACACGCTTGTAAACGTGTGTTTGGAGTGTCTCAGGGTCGGGGTTTTTCGCGCTTGTAAACGTGTGTTTGGTGTGTCTCAGGGTCGGGGTTTTTCACGCTTGTAAACGTGTGTTTGGTGTGTCTCAGGGTCAGGGTTTTTCACACTTGTAAACGCGTGTTTGGAGTGTCTCAGGGTCGGGGTTTTTCACACTTGTAAACGTGTGTTTGGAGTGTCTCAGGGTCGGGGTTTTTCAAGCTTGTAAAAGTGTGTTTGGAGTGTCTCAGGGTCAGGGTTTTCACACTTGTAAACGTGTGTTTGGTGTGTCTCAGGGTCGGGGTTTTTCAAGCTTGTAAAAGTGTGTTTGGAGTGTCTCAGGGTCAGGGTTTTTCGCGCTTGTAAACGTGTGTTTGGTGTGTCTCAGGGTCGGGGTTTTTCACGCTTGTAAACGTGTGTTTGGAGTGTCTCAGGGTCAGGGTTTTTCGCGCTTGTAAACGTGTGTTTGGTGTGTCTCAGGGTCGGGGTTTTTCACGCTTGTAAACGTGTGTTTGGTGTGTCTCAGGGTCAGGGTTTTTCACACTTGTAAACGTGTGTTTGGTGTGTCTCAGGGTCGGGGTTTTTCACGCTTGTAAACGTGTGTTTGGTGTGTCTCAGGGTCAGGGTTTTTCACACTTGTAAACGTGTTTGGAGTGTCTCAGGGTCAGGGTTTTTCACACTTGTAAACGTGTTTGGAGTGTCTCAGGGTCGGGGTTTTCACACTTGTAAACGTGTTTGGAGTGTCTCAGGGTCAGGGTTTTCACACTTGTAAACGTGTGTTTGGTGTGTCTCAGGGTCGGGGTTTTTCACACTTGTAAACGTGTGTTTGGTGTGTCTCAGGGTCAGGGTTTTCACACTTGTAAACGTGTGTTTGGAGTGTCTCAGGGTCAGGGTTTTTCACGCTTGTAAACGTGTGTTTGGAGTGTCTCAGGGTCGGGGTTTTCACACTTGTAAACGTGTTTGGAGTGTCTCAGGGTCAGGGTTTTTCACACTTGTAAACGTGTGTTTGGAGTGTCTCAGGGTCAGGGTTTTTCACACTTGTAAACGTGTGTTTGGTGTGTCTCAGGGTCAGGGTTTTTCACACTTGTAAACGTGTGTTTGGAGTGTCTCAGGGTCAGGGTTTTTCACGCTTGTAAACGTGTGTTTGGTGTGTCTCAGGGTTAGGGTTTTTCACACTTGTAAACGTGTGTTTGGTGTGTCTCAGGGTCGGGGTTTTTCAAGCTTGTAAACGTGTGTTTGGTGTGTCTCAGGGTCGGGGTTTTTCAAGCTTGTAAACGTGTGTTTGGTGTGTCTCAGGGTCAGGGTTTTCACACTTGTAAACGTGTTTGGTGTGTCTCAGGGTCAGGGTTTTTCACACTTGTAAACGTGTGTTTGGAGTGTCTCAGGGTCGGGGTTTTTCAAGCTTGTAAACGTGTGTTTGGTGTGTCTCAGGGTCAGGGTTTTCACACTTGTAAACGTGTTTGGTGTGTCTCAGGGTCAGGGTTTTTCACACTTGTAAACGTGTGTTTGGTGTGTCTCAGGGTCGGGGTTTTCACACTTGTAAACGTGTTTGGTGTGTCTCAGGGTCAGGGTTTTCACACTTGTAAACGTGTGTTTGGTGTGTCTCAGGGTCAGGGTTTTCACACTTGTAAACGTGTTTGGTGTGTCTCAGGGTCAGGGTTTTTCACACTTGTAAACGTGTGTTTGGAGTGTCTCAGGGTCGGGGTTTTTCAAGCTTGTAAACGTGTGTTTGGTGTGTCTCAGGGTCAGGGTTTTCACACTTGTAAACGTGTTTGGTGTGTCTCAGGGTCAGGGTTTTTCACACTTGTTAACGTGTGTTTGGTGTGTCTCAGGGTCGGGGTTTTCACACTTGTAAACGTGTTTGGTGTGTCTCAGGGTCAGGGTTTTCACAATTGTAAACGTGTGTTTGGTGTGTCTCAGGGTCAGGGTTTTCACACTTGTAAACGTGTTTGGTGTGTCTCAGGGTCAGGGTTTTCACACTTGTAAACGTGTGTTTGGAGTGTCGGGGTTTTACACGCTTGTAAACGTGTGTTTGGAGTGTCTCAGGGTCAGGGTTTTCACACTTGTAAATGTGTGTTTGGAGTGTCGGGGTTTTACACGCTTGTAAACGTGTGTTTGGTGTCTCAGGGTCAGGGTTTTTCACGCTTGTAAACGTGTGTTTGGAGTGTCTCAGGGTCGGGGTTTTCACGCTTGTAAACGTGTGTTTGGTGTGTCTCAGGGTCGGGGGTTTTTCACGCTTGTAAACGTGTGTTTGGTGTGTCTCAGGGTCAGGGTTTTTCACGCTTGTAAACGTGTGTTTGGTGTGTCTCAGGGTCGGGGTTTTCACGCTTGTAAACGTGTGTTTGGTGTGTCTCAGGGTCGGGGGTTTTTCACGCTTGTAAACGTGTGTTTGGTGTGTCTCAGGGTCGGGGTTTTCACACTTGTAAACGTGTGTTTGGTGTGTCTCAGGGTCGGGGTTTTCACACTTGTAAATGTGTGTTTGGAGTGTCGGGGTTCTCTTATGAGAGGTTCTCTCGTATTGCGTAAGCTAGCTTACGCTGCGGGAAAGATTCATCTTTGCTGAGATATTGAAGCCAAAAAATTATTTCATAATTTGTATCCATTGACAACGCAGTTCCTCTGCGGCAGACCTAGAGCAGGCTAGCTAGCAGCTCATTGGTTCGCTCAGAGAGAACTGCTTAAGCCTATGGGAGAGCGGGGCTGAACCCGCTTCCAATGAGAGGCGCCCGCGCGCTCATTGCGTCATGGCCCGCCAGAATGGGCGTGGCTATGGTGTATATAACAGTCTCTCCCAGGCTTATATGTTGATTCATTTCATCTTCAGCAAGCTGCACGCTTCTGCTGTCCTGAGAAAAGCCGTCGCCGTCGAGAAGGCATCACTCTAGCGAGCTCCCGGACCCTGAAGAAGCCGGCCGTCTTCGCCACCTTCAGCCGCCCTGCAAGCTAGCGCCATCCGACGACTGTATCCTTCTCTTTTCTCTATTTATATCTAAAAGAGCCGAGCGTCTTTTTAAAGATGTCTCGTTTTTCCTGCGGCTCTTGCCGCGCTCGTCTCGAGGACGGAGACCGCCATGTCATCTGCGCTCTCTGCCTGGGACTCGAGCACGCAGAACTCGCCCTCGCGGATGGAGGATGCGACTTCTGTGAGAGCCTGCCGTTGTCGTCCCTGCGGGCACGACTTCTGGCAGCAAAATCCGCTCCCGCGCCGCCTCCCTCTTCGCCGCGTAAGAAGAAACGCCGCTCCCAGAGGCCGCCGGAGCCCCCAGCGGAACCATGCGGGCCGCCGCCGCCGCCTCCCGCTCTCCCTCCCCGCCCCTGCCGGACATACAGTTGCCGCCGAGTGGCCGCTCTGTCGCTTCCGATGACGCCGCGGAGGAGAAGGACTCCTGTTCACTGCTCGCATCAGACAGTGAAGAATGGTCATCTCTCGGTTCCACGAGAGAGTCGGCGGGGATCCGCGCCGGGATAGAGGAGGAACTAATGCGCCTCCTCTCACAGGCCGTCGAACGCCTCGGTCTCGAGTGGTCTCCTCCACCCGAGCAGGCCCCGAACCGGATGGACGGCAGCTTTTTTCATCGGCGCTCGACCCCCGCGTGCAACCGGGCCGCCCCATTCCTGCCTGAACTTCACGCTGAGCTGACGAAGTCCTGGAATGCCCCGCTCTCGGCTAGAAACCGCTCTGATAAATCCGCCTCGCTGCGCTCGGTGGACGGAGCCGCCGAAAAAGGTTACTCAGCCATGCCGCCCGTCGAGGACTTGGTCGCCGCACACCTCTGCCCGCCCTCTGCTAGATGGCGCTCTTCCCCCACGCTTCCTTCGAAAGCTTGCAGAGCGACCTCGAGCTTTCATGCTCGCGCCTACGCCGCCGCCGGTCAGGCCGCCGCAGCGCTACATTCTATGTCTGTCCTCCAAGTATTACAGAGCG